TGGTTTAGTCTTGGTTTAGACCTGGTTTTAGTCCTGGTTTAGACCTGGTTTAGTCCTGGTTTAGTCCTGGTTTAGTCTTGGTTTAGACCTAGTTTTAGTCCCAGTTTGGACCTGGTTTTAGACCTGGTTTAGACCTGGTTTAGTCCTGTTTTAGTCCTGGTTTAGTCTTGGTTTAGACCTGGTTTTAGTCCTGGTTTAGACCTGGTTTAGACTTGGTTTTAGTCCTGGTTTAGTCCTGGTTTAGTCTTGGTTTAGACCTGGTTTTAGTCCCAGTTTGGACCTGGTTTTAGACCTGGTTTAGACCTGGTTTAGTCCTGGTTTAGACCTGGTTTAGTCCTGGATTAGACCTGGTTTAGTCCTGGTTTAGACCTGGTTTAGTCTTGGTTTGGACTTGGATTTAGACCTGGTTTAGACCTGGATTTAGACCTGGTTTAGACCTGGTTTAGTCTTGGTTTGGACTTGGATTTAGACCTGGTTTAGTCCTGGTTTAGTCCTGGTTTAGTCTTGGTTTAGTCTTGGTTTAGACCTGGTTTTAGTCCCAGTTTGGACCTGGTTTTGACCTGGTTTAGACCTGGTTTAGACCTGGTTTAGTCCTGGTTTAGTCCTGGTTTAGTCTTGGTTTAGACCTGGTTTTAGTCCCGGTTTGGACCTGGTTTTAGACCTGGTTTAGTCTTGGTTTGGACTTGGATTTAGACCTGGTTTAGACCTGGATTTAGACCTGGTTTAGACCTGGATTTAGACCTGGTTTAGTCCTGGTTTGGACGTGGTTTTAGACCTGGTTTAGTGTCCGGCAGTGAGTGGAATTACTGGAAAAAAAACAAAAAAAACAAAAAAAAGGAATATAGCCTGAAATGTGAAAACGGGAAAATACCTGCCTGTGTAATCCATTTATTTCAACAAAGTAACTGTAATCCAATTACCACTCACTGAAACAGTAACTGTAACTGAATACAGTTACTCATAATTTGTACTCTGATTACATAACTCCGGTACATGTAATCTGTTACTCCACAACACTGTTAATATTAGTAGTTGCCTGCAAAAAGTTGTTTTTCTGATTATTATATTTATTTAACCCTCAATCTTTACAAAAATACGTTATTAGATCAAATTTTTGTGCAGTGAATTTCATTTGGCTACAAAAATTAAAATCAGAGGATTAATATTTTTATTTTTATTTGCTCAACCAACACCTCACCTTATGATTTATATTTTAAATGTTTTATTTTCAGATATTTTAACCCTTTAATTGCTGACTTTCTTTCATAAAGTCAGTGCATTTCATTCTCAAAAATCTCTACCAGCACATTTGTATCGATATGTGGAGGATAACTTTTCTAAAATGAAAACTCAAGATTTGAAACCTTTTACTGCACATATTAATGCTGTAGATCTGAATATCAAATTCACTCATGTAGATGCAAATGAGCACACATCGGCCTTCTTAGACTGAGCAGTAATGACAGGAGAAGACCCAGGTTGAGGTCTTCAGGAAGCCCACACACGGACCAGCTGCTTTTTGATTCACACCACCCACTGCAGCACCAACTTGGACTTATTCTGACATTAAAACACAGGGTCCAAATGGTTCCTATAAGCACAGAGGGAAAGAAGAAAGAAGAACAACACATGCAGAAAGCCCTCTCTGTTTGTGGAGATCCAAAATGGGCTTTCAATAAAACAAAGAGAGCTAAAAAAAAAACAAAAAACAAGACGACAGAGAATGAAAACCCTGGAGAACGGTTGTAACTATTCCTTACATGGCTGGTGTTTCTGAAAAACGATAAACCTACAAACACTTTAAGACAGAAACTGGTCCACCCAAAGGACAAAACACCGAGCCACAAACAAAACAATGTGATCTGCTCCAGTCAGTGAAGTGAAGACTGCAGTGAGCGTGAAGAGGATGAACCAACACAGACGAGAGAGCAGCAGTGGACCTCAGTCTGCTGTACATCTCCATCAAAGAACTGGACTGACAGGGGAGTTAAAGAAGCTGTTTTGTTAAGAAAGAGAATCCATCTTTGAATAGAAACTGGGAACTCAGGCAACATCTGTCTCCCATCTACAACTCTATCCTCAAACCTAAATCAAAACAAAGAAATATAAATAGGGGTAACCAGGTCACGTCCACAGTTGAAAGCTCCATTATGGCCTTGAATGATTATGTTAATATGACCCCACACTCAGTGCAAGATCAATGGACCTAACTAACAAACAGAAACTGTAAACAAGTAGATGTGTTAGTTTCAGAATCGTTTCAGTGTAGTTAGCTCCTCCCTTCAGGCAGATATAAGGAAGTGTCAACCAGTGTCTGACCAGAACTGAAAAAGCAGCTTGGATGAGCTCTGAAACGTCTTCAACCAAATCATTTTTTGTCCATAAAAATAACAAAATTGGAGCACTACACTGGATCAAAAAACCTGCGCATACAGGTGCTCATCAGACCAGAGCCCCGATGAAGACTAAGTACTCGAAATACGTTGGCGTGACTATTAATAAATTCACTGCAAATCAGAGTGCCTCTGCCATCCTTTTTTCAAATTTTTTGTCCAGTTGACAAATTGAATTTCTCCATTTGCCACAAAAAAAAACAACAAAAAAACACTTTAGTGTGGAGTATTATACCTATGGGGCACGAACCGGAGTGCCCAGAGGAAACCCACCCAGACAAAAAGAGAACAACCTGTAAACTTTGTACATAAAGGCCTGGGAATCAAACTCAGAACCTTCTTACCAGCCAGTGCTAGTGTCAGCAGTGTTGGGAAGGTTACTCTTAAAATGTATTCCCCTACAGATTACAGATTACATACCCCAAAATGTAGTTTGGGGTATGTAATGTAGTCCTGTTTTAGTCCTGTTTTAGTCCTGGTTTAGTCCTGGTTTAGTCCTGGTTTAGATCTGATTTTAGACCTGTTTCAGACCTGGTTTAGATCTGGTTTAGATCTAGTTTAGACCTGGTTTTAGTCCTGGTTTAGATCTAGTTTAGATCTAGTTTAGACCTGGTTTTAGTCCTAGTTTAGTCCTGGTTTAGTCCTGGTTTAGTCCTAGTTTAGTCCTGGTTTAGTCCTGGTTTAGTCCTGGCTTAGTCCTAGTTTAGTCCTGGTTTAGACCTGGTTTAGTTTCCTGCAATGAGTGGAATTACTGAGAAAAAAAAAAGGGGGGGTATAGCCCAAAATGTAAAAACAGGAAAATACCGCCGTGTAATCCATTTATTTCAACAAAGTAACTGTAATCCAATTACCACTCACTGAAACAGTAACTGTAACTGAATACAGTTACTCATAATTTGTACTCTGATTATGTAACTCCAGTACATGTAATCTGTTACTCCACAACACTGAGTGTCAGTACTAGCCACTCTGCATTTAACTTATGAGACATGTCGTGGCAGAAAGTTCTAAATTTAAACTTTTTTTTTTTTTTTTTGCTCTTCCGCAAATGCAGAGGTGACTTCTTATAAACACCATATAAGTCATAATCTGTTGTATTTTACTGCAATAATTTAGTTGTTTTTTCACGTTGTTGTGTGTCAAAATGGTTCTGCTCCAGGTTCTGGGTAAACAGCCCTGAGCAAAGCCTCTGTGTGGCAAGAGACAGTGAGTAAGTCTATTGTGTGGGCCTAGTTTACTGACCCCTAGTGGCTGCCTGCTGTACAGCCTGCACGTGTACAAAGCACAAGATACAGTATAGTATATTTTGGTATTTTTATATTCATTTTGTTATTCCACTGTTATGGCTTGATCATTTTTGGTAGGTCATTATATCAGGCTGGTACGTTGTTATGATAAGATTTGTTTACAGCTCCACTGTGAAACTTTCTAGATAATATAGTGACTGAAATAAAATCATGTTTTCTTATTTTGTCTGTTTTATTGCATTGAAAAGTGTGGAAAAACATGTGTCCTTACTGTCAGTGGGCTTGCATGTCCACAGACCTGACTCTCACTTGGTCTGGTGGAGGGCTTCCTCCTCCTTGTTTCCATTTTCCAGTTTTATTTCCATGGAATCCTGGAGGTGACTTACATTCATATTTTAATGGTAATCAGCTAGGAAATGTGCTTTTATATTCACTGCAAAAAAGCAAGATGTCTTAGTTAAAATGAGTCAAATTAAGAATATTTTACTTTATTTGAGTAGATTCAACTTCTACCAGAGGAATTATTATAATGTTTTAATATCAGTGTCAAAAACTGTGTAAAATATAAGTAAACTACATTAAATGAATATAATTTCTCTGCTATTTTAATACAATATACAAATACAAACTATGACATTGTGCAGCAGTAACTCTATAACACCTGTGGAGTGGCCGGAAGCAGAAGAATATTGTGGTTTTGTGAGGTCATTTGTCTAGCAAAGGTGTTGCTTTGTTCATTGGACTTTAAAAGAAATGTTGCTGACTTCCTGAATGAGATGCACAATTCAGACTTACCATCTCAACATGAAAATCTGTCAAATCTTTATCTTCATTTTTGGTGAGTACATAAAAAAAGAGTTTACTACATTTATAGAAACTGTGTGTTTTGTGTACATATGTGTGTGTTATGACACAATAGTCTATGACTAGATTACACATTTCACAAAAACTTAGTTAAAGGTGCAGTGTGCAGCTTTTCTGGTGGAGCAATCAAATTATTGCTTTGTCTAGAATGTTCCACAGCCGAGAGTAAACTTATCTATCAAAGGGAGACAAGCAGGTTACAGCTCTATGCTACATTACAGTTCAGATCTGTGGAGGAATGTATGTATTTTTGAGCAATAGAAACACCTGTAATGAATAAATGTAATGGAAATGTTTAATGTCATACCATGGAACATTCCAAGCAAAGCAATAACATCTCCATGGAGACAAGCAGGACCCCCCACCACAAATGTTCTGCATTGCACCTTTAACATCAATATCGATCTATAAGATATTATAAAGAATCTAGACTAGTTTTTACTTTTTTCCATTTTGCTCAAGTGAGTAATTTTACTCCCTGGTTGTGACTGTGCATAGAAGTAATTCCATAACTGCAGCCCTCGTGTTAAAAAGGGCCAAATCAACATTTAGTCTGTCAGAAGATGCCCTCCTTGTGAGTAAATTATCTCTAAATTTTGGATGGAATGTTTGGTGAGAATGACAGACAGAGGTATTCCATTGCAGAACTCATTGCTACTTCCTGTGTTTTGGTACTTTTGAAATGACATTTAACATGTGAAACTATGATATTTACCACAGATAAAACTCCACCAAACCAAGTCCTGTGCACTTAATGTCAGTGTCATTGAACCCTTTGTGTTTTTGAACAGTTTTATGGAACGGTCCAAAACTCACCACAGGACACATAATTTCTGTAACTGAAGGAAAAGACGTCACCGTCAGTTGTTGGTTTTATTTCCCTGGAAGCAAAAAAGTTTTCTGCAAAAATGACTGTAAAAATAAAGAGGACATTTTGGTGCAGACTTCAAGAATACAAGACTGGAATAAAAGATACAGCATCGAATATTGGATAAAAAGAGTTTATATAATGGATGTGACAATCAAAAATGTGACCAAGTCGGATTCAGGAAAATACCAGTGTGTGTTAGAAAGATCAATTCAAAATGGTTACTATGAATTTATAATTGAAGTCACTCAAGGTAAGTGAATATATTTATATATATTTATATACCAGACAATTATACAGATCAAAACACAACTTTAAAGATCCCACATTATATAAAATGGATTTTGGAGCTTTAAGTCAAGTTATAATGTAGTTACCTGATCAGAAACATGTCTGGAGTTGGGTTGTGTGTTTAAAAACATAGTGAAGCACTTCCTGTATTACCACATGACATCACAAAGTGGAACAGACTTTGTTCTGTTTGAGTAAAGGACACAGGGTTTGTGTGTTAAACTTGTGTGAATAAAACAAAACTCCACTCCAGGTCTGTTTGTGATGAGGAAACCACATTATAACAAAGATCAGGAAAACAGTGTAATATTGGTCTTTTAATGCATCGTCACTTCATCTTTTACAGAATTTGTTCCAAAATCAAAAGTTATTCTCAAACCCAGTGTCACACCTTCGCCCTCCTGTGGATCTACTGAGTTGCAGACACTTCCTCTCACTACATTCACAGAGCCTAGTCAAACTGAAAACACAACACCTCTGCAGCCCTCAACAGCGCCACCTTCTGCACCAGCAGGTACTGCACTCTTTAGACTTAACAACTCTTATCAATTCAGAAACATGTCGAGGTGACTTAAAAAAAAGCTACTCACACTTGATATTTTAAATAAAATAACTTTTTTGTACCTAATGTTTTAGTGATTTTTTAATTAAAGAGATTGTGAATGTGGAAAGTCAGCTGCATGATTCCATGGAAATAGAAAGTTAAAGCCACACTTCGGAACATGGAGAGTGAGATAGATACCATTCTGTAGAAGATTATAACAAAAGGAACAACATTTCAAGCAAGAGGAGGTTCTCCTCCAGGTCAGATATAAGTCAAGTCTGTGGAAATGCAAGTCTGCTCAGAGTGCAATAAACACACTCATAATGAAAAAAAACAAAACATGATTTTATCTTTATTTTTTTAGGATAAGTTACATAGTGTGGCTTTAATTCAGCACTATGCTACTTTAGTAGCATAGCTTACCATTACCGTGGTTTACCACAATACAACATTAAACTTATCAATCTGGATGGAAAAGAGCAGGTCACTGAGCCAGTTTACAGGTCAGATCTGTGGAGAGACAAACACATGCTTTTCTAAGTATTGAAAAATAAAAGCAACTTGAATAAAAAAGGTAAGACTGGAATATTCCAGGCAATACAATAACATCTAAATGCAGACAGCAGCCCCACCAACAGAAAAGTTACACAGTGCACTTTTATTAAAGAGACAATATGTTACTCTCTGGAGGTGGAAAGTCCACTGCATGGAAAGAGAGAGTTAAAACCATACTCTGGAACATTTTCCATGTAGATAGATGGGTTTTATGAGATAATTTATAGACAAAGGAACAACAATTCCATGGAAACAAGCAGAAGGGCCTGTCAGGTTTGTGGAGATGCAAGCCCACTCATGGCATGGATAAATGTTTGTTTACTTTTAACGTTTTTAGTGCAACAAAAACATCCGTAATGAAAAATCTATTTTTGGCTAGAAAGTTGCATACTATGGCTTTAAGAAATTATAAAGGTTCAAATTCTGTTAAAGTGATAAACGTGTTACAGATAGTGACTTGTGTTGTGTTCTTTGTTCACAGGGATGTTGTACTTTGTGGCTGTTCCCATGTTAGTCTGTGTGGTTGGTTTATCTGTGATTTTATTGTTGTTATACATGAGAAGCAACAGAAACAGAACAGAAGGTACACACACAAAATATATTTAAGTACTTTTGTTTTAACAACTTCATGTTTTAACAACTTCATGTTTTTTATGTTTTGGACAGAGAATCCTGTAAATACAAACAACATTCAAATACCAGAAGTGAGTTCAATTTTAACTTTTAACTTCATTGTGTTTGCTCTACAAGTGATTTCATTAAATGGGGCAAGACTTAAAAGCAAAAACAATAAATTTTAAAGGGCCCATAATGCATTATTTTCTGATTTATGTCATATTGTTGTTTCCTCATCACAAACAGACCGGTTCTTTTCTCAAACAGAAAACACTCTGGTCCACCTTGTGATGGTATTTGGTAATACAGGAAGTGCTCCAGTGAGTTAATAAAAAAAGGATAGCTGTTCTCTTGGAAACTCGCTATATGACATCACAAGGTAGAACACAGTATTTTGAGATTTGAAGATAGACAGACTAATAGTAAAGGGTTACTCATGTGTGAATGAAACAAAAAGTAACCCCAGGTCTGCTTTTGCTGAGGTAACAACATTATAACATGGCTTAAAGCTCACAAGAGTCAATTTTCTGTAATATATAAGCTTTAACACTAGATCTAGTTTGGTTTAGCTTTTGTATGGTTTGTTTGTCACAATGTTGTAAAAGCGAGATTTGATTTCTTACATTTGTCTTACATTGCAGGTGGACGGCCTGTATGAGATACAAGAGGACTTCAGCCACAAATGGGCCAGTACAGTTTATGCTTCAGTGATCTACACTCTGACATCAGCACCCAGTGACCATCCCGTATATGACAACATTCAATGCAGGAAATAGATTTTGTTGTTTGTTACTTCTCAACCATATGTATTCTCCTTTTGATTTTTGTATTTTGGTGACTGTGACGAGCTCCCGATATGTTCATTTTTCATGCATTTACTTCCTAGCCCCGGATTCGTTCATTTGTTTTATTTTAGTTCATTTATCTACTTCATGCAAGTCAGTGAACACAAAGAGAGGGAAGAAGAAAACATATTAAAATGAAAATGCCACACTTGTTGTCCATTAAAACATAACTTACATGTTTTGTTTTAGCTTCCTTTTTTTCTTTTTCCATATATACTGTGCATCTTTTTGATTTTGTAGTTTTACAGTCACATAATAACAAAGCTGCAAAGTGGCTGTAGAAGGAGTTTAGTTCCACTTTAAGTTAACATGCACATGCGTCCTTAGTGTCAGTAAATAAATGTAATGTCGCCTAAGGGCTCGACTGCCTCAAACAACAGGTATTGTGGATCACCAGAGAACTATGGACAGCAGAGTTTAGCTTTAAGAGTTTTATTTATAATATTTCAGCAGTTTCTGTATGTCCAGGGGTGAAGGAGTTGGTTAACAAGTTTGTTAAAAAGGTTGTTAAGAGCTTGTCCAGAGGTCCGGGCATTTGGTCGGGTCAGAGTGGCTCCGTGGCGGGCAATCGACAGTTAGTGTTGCACCATGGACTCAGCGTGCCCCAGTTTCACCCACGGAGCGGCCGACACGTCTTAAGACTGCCCGGGGACCTCGTCTGGACAGAGACACAAGCAGGGTGTGAGAGAGAGAGAGAGAGTAACAGACAGTCAGTTAAAACAACATTAGCATCCTCTTTAACATTTACAGTGAGTATTATAAGTGCAAAGTGTGAGCTGCTTCCTACTGACCAGGACAGAGACAACAGGGAGTGAGAGAAAGTGAGGGAGAAGGTTCACAGGGTTTTTAAATAATAAGCAACGCCCCTTTCCAGCTGCCAATACATGCATCACAAAATTCAGATTTCCAGTCTTTGCACGATGCATAGTGGGAAGGATTTTCCAAAAAAGTGAGCATCAAACTGCCATGTTTGTTTTCCCAGTGGGATGACAAACCTGGTCTTTTCTAGTCTTTTGAATCATATCCCTTTTGTTTCTGGTTCTAATATTGTCATATTTTAGTTTTGGGATTCGGACATCGTTAATTGTGTGGTTGTTGGATCCTAACAGCGGAAAACAGCTCAAGAAATTTGTTTGCGAACTTCATAGATGCAAAAGTGAATCAGATGTGTGTGACTGTAAACCTCTGTTCAAATTGTTTCCCTTCCCAACAGAATTGAGAAATAGTGAAAGGCGAAGGCGATGGGCAGGATTGATCCACAGAAAGGATGAAAAAGGAAACGTCTGACTGCCTAAAAAATAATCCTGAGTTTGCAGTGAACATTTTGTATGTGGAGCTCCATCAAAGCAAAATCCCGTTTGTTAAGCGAGAGGTGCAGAAGACAAACAGGCTGAGCTCGGATTTTCTTGTTCTTGTGGTTTTACAGCAACACCACATCTTGGTCTCTTTGCAGTGGAAGGTGTTTCTTGGCGAACAGCTGGTGCCTTTCGCTTTGGCGTTGACTTTTTAAATTTGTAACCAAGGTTGAGCGAGGGATCGGGATTTTGCTTTGTTGGCGCTCCACATACAAAATGTTCACTGCAAACTCAGGATTATTTTTTAGGCAGTCAGACGTTTCCTTTTTCATCCTTTCTGTGGATCAATCCTGCCCATCGCCTTCACCTTTCACTATTTCTCAATTCTGTTGGGAAGGGAAACAGTTTGAACAGAGGTTTACAGTCACACACATCTGATTCACTTTTGCACCTATGAAGTTCGCAAACAAATTTCTTGAGCTGTTTTCCGCTGTTTAGGATCCAACAACCACAAATTACGATGTCCGAATCCCAAAACTAAAATATGACAATATCAGAATCAGAAACAAAAGCGATATGGTTCAAAAGACTAGAAAAGATCAGCTTTGTCAATAGACGCATCCCACTGGGAAAACAAACATGGTGATTTGATGCTCACTTTTTCGGAAAATCCTTCCCAGTTTACACTGCGCAATGAGCCGAAGTGCAAAATTTGTGACGCATGTATTGCATGGCCATTAGCCCACACCAAAAAAAATAAAAATAAATCACACAGAGAAAAACCACACCCATTTAAATTGACAGAGGAACAATACTCTGCTCCCCCTCTTACATCAAGTTTGAACTTTTTATTTCCATGGAATCCTGCAAGTGATGAACATTCATATTTTAAAACTGCTAATCAGCTAGGAAATGTGTTTTTATAATCACTGCAAAAAAGCAAGATGTCTAGGTTAAAATGAGTTAAATTAAGAACATTTTACTTTTACTAGTGTAACAGACCAAGGTTCTGGGCCTGTTGGGCAGATTAAATGTTTCTGTAAAACACAAGGAAATAATGAGACAAGCAATCGCGCTGTCCCTCTTTGCCTCGCTTCTGCCATATTTATTTATACAATCATGTCAGTCATCAATCTTATAGAGAACACATCAGAATCATGCTTTAAAACAATGTACAGCAAACACTCCCATCAAGTACCTCCTCTCCAACATTGTTACATATTTTCAATTTAAGTTTTACATTTCAACCAAAACACCTCAGTTTCTACAACCGCAGCTGGTCTGCTTTTAACATATAGTTTTTAATACATAACCGCCACCGTAATGGCTCCTCATGAATTCTCTGGTAGTAACCGTTACTACTGTCTGGCTTTTCGCTCTGGCTTGAGACTCTTTTTAACCTTTACTTAAGAACTTTTGAACTAAATCTTTATACTTTTAGAATCAAAACAATGTCGGAGCACTTTAACATGTTCTCTGTTACGAAAAACAGGAGCTTAAAATAAATGCGTCACAAACTCAAAATGGCGCCCTTAGCTTCGCCTTGACCCGTCTTTTTACATGGCTTAAATTTAACAAAAATACAGTATTTATCAACTTTTTCAACAAAATTTATACACTCACGACTAGCTCTGTTCGTTACTTATTGTTTTCGACCAATATTATGTGGTTTTTACTTTTATACTGACCTGTAAAACACAAGGAAATAATGACACAAGCAATCGCGCTGTTCCTCTTTGCCTCGCTTCTGCCATATTGGACAGGAGGACCTCTGACCTCACGATACCGTCTCGAGGAGTCATGCGCCACCTACTGGCGTGAGGGTGTAATTACAGGTTAAATAAAGTTATTACTTAAATTGCTAATTTGGAGGCAATTTAAGTAATAACTTACTACCAATGCATACACAAATAAAACATAATGTGAAAACACATTACTGTGTGTCACACTAGATTCCACTTGGCAAATAAAATTCTACCAGTGGAATTATTATAATGTTTTAATATTTTTATCAGTGTCATAAAATGTGTAAAACATAAGTAAACTATATTAAATTAATATAATTTCTCTGCTATTTTAATACAATATACAAATACAAACTATGACATTGTGCAGCAGTAACTCTATAACACCTGTGGCATGGCCGGGGGAGGAGCAGAATATTGTGGTTTTGTGAGTTCATTTGTCTAGCAAAGTTGTTGCTTTGTTCATTGGACTTTAAGAGACGTGTGAGCAGACTTCCTGAACTTACCATCTCAACATGAAACTCTGTCAGATCTTTATCTTCAGTGTTGGTGAGTACATAACAAAAGAGTTTACTACATTTATAGAAACAGTGTGTTTGGTGTACATATGTGTGTGTTATGACACAATAGTCTATGATTAGTTACACATTTCACAAAAACTTAGTTAAAGGTGCACTGTGCAGCTTTTCTGGTGGAGCAACCGCCGCATGCTTGTCTCCATGGAGATGTTATTGCTTTGTCTAGAATGTTCCACAGCTGAGAGTAAACATATCTATCAAAGGGAGACAAGCAGGTTACAGCTCTATGTTACATTACAGTTCAGATCTGTGGAGGAATGTATGTATTTTTGAGCAATAGAAACACCTGTAATGAATAAATGTAATGAAAATGTTTAATGTCATACCATGGAACATTCCAAGCAAAGCAATAACATCTCCATGGAGACAAGCAGGACCCCCCACCACAAATGTTCTGCATTGCACCTTTAACATCAATATCGATCTATAAGATATTATAAAGAATCTAGACTAGTTTTTACTTTTTTTCCATTTTGCTCAAGTGAGTAATTTTACTCCCTGGTTGTGACTGTGCATAGAAGTAATTCCATAACTGCAGCCCTCGTGTTAAAAAGGGCCAAATCAACATTTAGTCTGTCAGAAGATGCCCTCCTTGTGAGTAAATTATCTCTAAATTTTGGATGGAATGTTTGGTGAGAATGACAGACAGAGGTATTCCATTGCAGAACTCATTGCTACTTCCTGTGTTTTGGTACTTTTGAAATGACATTTAACATGTGAAACTATGATATTTACCACAGATAAAACTCCACCAAACCAAGTCCTGTGCACTTAATGTCAGTGTCATTGAACCCTTTGTGTTTTTGAACAGTTTTATGGAACGGTCCAAAACTCACCACAGGACACATAATTTCTGTAACTGAAGGAAAAGACGTCACCGTCAGTTGTTGGTTTTATTTCCCTGGAAGCAAAAAAGTTTTCTGCAAAAATGACTGTAAAAATAAAGAGGACATTTTGGTGCAGACTTCAAGAATACAAGACTGGAATAAAAGATACAGCATCGAATATTGGACAAAAAGAGTTTATATGATGGATGTGACAATCAAAAATGTGACCAAGTCGGATTCAGGAAAATACCAGTGTGTGTTAGAAAGATCAATTAAAAATGGTTACTATGAATTTATAATTGAAGTCACTCAAGGTAAGTGAATATATTTATATATATTTATATACCAGACAATTATACAGATCAAAACACAACTTTAAAGATCCCACATTATATAAAATGGATTTTGGAGCTTTAAGTCAAGTTATAATGTAGTTACCTGATCAGAAACATGTCTGGAGTTGGGTTGTGTGTTTAAAAACATAGTGAAGCACTTCCTGTATTACCACATGACATCACAAAGTGGAACAGACTTTGTTCTGTTTGAGTAAAGGACACAGGGTTTGTGTGTTAAACTTGTGTGAATAAAACAAAACTCCACTCCAGGTCTGTTTGTGATGAGGAAACCACATTATAACAAAGATCAGAAAACAGTGTAATATTGGTCTTTTAATGCATCGTCACTTCATCTTTTACAGAATTTGTTCCAAAATCAAAAGTTATTCTCAAACCCAGTGTCACACCTTCGCCCTCCTGTGGATCTACTGAGTTGCAGACACTTCCTCTCACTACATTCACAGAGCCTAGTCAAACTGAAAACACAACACCTCTGCAGCCCTCAACAGCGCCACCTTCTGCACCAGCAGGTACTGCACTTTTTAGACTTAACAACTCTTATCAATTCAGAAACATGTCGAGGTGACTTTAAAAAAAATGCTACTCACACTTGATATTTTAAATAAAATAACTTTTTTGTACCTAATGTTTTAGTGATTTTTTAATTAAAGAGATTGTGAATGTGGAAAGTCAGCTGCATGATTCCATGGAAATAGAAAGTTAAAGCCACACTTCGGAACATGGAGAGTGAGATAGATACCATTCTGTAGAAGATTATAACAAAAGGAACAACATTTCAAGCAAGAGGAGGTTCTCCTCCAGGTCAGATATAAGTCAAGTCTGTGGAAATGCAAGTCTGCTCAGAGTGCAATAAACACACTCATAATGAAAAAAAAACAAAACATGATTTTATCTTTATTTTTTTGAGATAAGTTACATAGTGTGGCTTTAATGCAGCACTGTGTTACTTTAGTCAGATCTGTGGAGAGACAAATCCCCTTCACAATAAGAACACATGCTTTTCTAAGTATTGAAAAATAAAAGTAACTTGAATAAAAAAGTAAGATTGACCATTTTAATGTGATACTGTAGAATATTCCAGGCAATACAATAACATCTAAATGCAGACAGCAGCCCCACAAACAGAAAAGTTACACAGTGCACCTTTATTAAAGAGACAATATGTAAATCTCTGGAGGTGGAAAGTCCACTGCATGGAAAGAGAGAGTTAAAACCATACTCTGGAACATTTTCCACCTTCTATTAAAGTGATAAACGTGTTACAGATAGTGACTTGTGTTGTGTTCTTTGTTCACAGGGATGTTGTACTTTGTGGCTGTTCCCATGTTAGTCTGTGTGGTTGGTTTATCTGTGATTTTATTGTTGTTATACATGAGAAGCAACAGAAACAGAACAGAAGGTACACACACAAAATAGATTTAAGTACTTTTGTTTTAACAACTTCATGTTTTAACAACTTCATGTTTTTTATGTTTTGGACAGAGAATCCTGTAAATACAAACAACATTCAAATACCAGAAGTGAGTTCAATTTTAACTTTTAACTTCATTGTGTTTGCTCTACAAGTGATTTCATTAAATGGGTCAATAAAGGGCCCATAATGCATTATTTTCTGATTTATGTCATATTGTTGTTTCCTCATCACAAACAGACCGGTTCTTTTCTCAAACAGAAAACACTCTGGTCCACCTTGTGATGGTATTTGGTAATACAGGAAGTGCTCCATGAGTTTTTAACCATCCATAAAGGATAGCTGTTCATTTTAAAATGTGTGTATGAAACAAAATGCAACCCCAGGTCTGTTTTTGGTGAGGTAACAACATTCTAACATGGTTTAAAACTCACAAGAGTTAATTTTGTGTCATGTAGAACCTTTAATATCCACTTTGATTTAGCTTTTGTATGGTTTGTTTGTCTCAATTTTGTAGAGACAGATTTGATTTCTTACATTTGTTTGACATTGCAGGTGGACCGCCTGTATGAGGAGATACAAGAGGACTTACGCCACAACGTAATTCGTAATGTAATTCGAACTTCAGAGATCTACAGTCTGGCCACAGCGCCCAGTGACCATCCCATATCTGACAGTTCACAAAACAGGAATTAGATTTTGTTGGTTGCTACTTCTCAACCATGTATATAAATTTTTCTGTTTATTTTTTGTGTTTTGGTGACTATAAGTTTCCGATATATTTGTTCATATGTTTTATTTTAGTTTTTATTTCACTTTGAGCAGGTCAGTGAACACAAGATGTAGCAGTGCACCGTTTCACATTTTTGAAAAACGAGTGATGAAGACATTAAATGCTACATAAGTGAAATGCTTTGTTTTTTCTTCACTTTCATGTTTATTTTATTTAGATTTTGTAGCCTTACAGTCATATCACAAAGAAGCAGCAAATTGTACAAGAGCCACGTTTGTGTTTCTGATTACAAACAAACTGACCGCAGGGGGCGGAGCTTTGAAGAGTAGAGACCTGTTAGACCAATCACACGGTTCCTTATACCTCCAGACTCCGCCCCCTCAGGAGGACAGAGAAAGAAAATTCAGATATTGTAATTGTTTTTATGTGAGTGTTAGGGTTTAGTTGCTCAGTCAAACTACTTTTACTACTGCATTACTACTATTCTTGTTTAAAGAAGTTTTTTTCACAGATGATTGTCGATGGTATTTTGCTTTTGATGATGGGATTTTCCATTTTGGGTGCAGTGCTCCAGGTGAGTTTCACAGACAATCCAGCTCTGGCCATCTCATGATTGATCTAAGAAAGAAAGAAAGTATTTGTAATGGACAAATTACAGACAGGTTTGACTGAAGTGCACGACCAGTCAAACGTTTGGACAAACCTCCTCATTTTTATTTTATTTATGTTTACTACTTTCTGCATTTATTCAGATACAATTCAATGCAGAAGACATCATCAAACATCTCGTGTAAGACTTAAGGAACCATGTAGTAAAGAAGAAAAGTATGTAAGTAAAAAAATAATTATGGCCATATCTCTCTCTATTGCTCTAGTCAATATAATCAAAACCTGAGCACGACCCTGTCACATCCAGTCGTCCCCCGGCAGATATTTTTACTATGTTTAAGTCAAGTGAATTCATTCATTCAAGATAATATCATTTGTTCGTTTTTCCCACTTTTACATCATCTGCTGGGCTCTGGACAGGGTAAAATAACTCAACTAAATATATATATTTTTTTCATATTCTACATTCAAATTCCTTAAAGTAGTGACCCTTTTCTTAATCAACAGTGCTGCAAATCCTTGGTCTTTATGATGAAGTCTCCTGAAATGGTTTTCTGTTCATAAATGTGTCTCATCAGGGTCAAGAAATGCCAAGAGTGCAGAGCAGCGATCAAAGCAAAGGGTGGCTTTTGTTTTAATCTAAAACAAGTTTGGAGTTACTTTAAGGTTGTTTTTTGTTGTTGTTTTTTCCAGACAGTTTTGATACTTTTAATCAATCAATCAATCGTGTCCTTTTTAAGTCCGACAGAAGCTGACCGTGTACCAGGAGCGAGTTGTTTTATGAGCGCTTAGTTTATGTAAGTTAGCCATGCGGTTTTAAGTTTCGTTTCTGTAAAACACATATGCGCAAAGCTGCATTAAACACATTATTTCTCAATATATACTGAAAGAAAGAAAAGCCAACAGGAAATGTCTACAGAGCGGTGGTACGGAGGACCAATCACAGCTCTTATCGTCTGCATCGCTTCCCCTGCTGTCTGCGTCGTTTTGACGCATAGTTAGAACATTTCTGAGGTGCACATCGGTCGACGCAGAGGCCGTGTGTGGGGGGTACGCATCGACTCGAGGCAGACGATTTGACGCTGGACCGTAAATTGGCCTTAAGACCGTTAAGAGCTTTATAAACCAATAAAAGACATTTATTTATTTATTTCGGTCACAGGTATATTTTGACATTAATTCATAAACAGTCATATTTAACATATACAGACCCGAAAAGGTGCAGGCTGAAGCTTAAGCTTATTATGCCTTTACGCTTTATTCCTTTATCAGAGCTTCATCTTGACACCAGTTCATCTTCATAAATACAGCAGGAAGAAACAAGCTAATCAGTAACAGATCAACAAAGTCCTACAGCACAAACTAAGTCTCATATTTCATGTATCTGTCCAGAGTTAAACATTTAAACTTCTTTATGAAGTGAAAGAAAGTGGTGCACAATTTTAGGTTTTCTGTACAGTTGTTCCAGAGCTCCACCCCTTTAACAGATATACAAAATTTCATAATGTTTGTTCTGATTTTCTTTTTAATAAACATGGTCGTGCCTCTGAGCTCATATCGGCTCTTTCGGATTTTGAACATGTTCTGTAACGATTTCGACAGGAGATTGTTGTTTACTTTGAACATGATTTTAAGAGTGTACAGGTCGACTAAATCGTAAAATTTCAGCGTTTGAAGGTTTATAAATAATGCATTGGTTGGTTCGTTATAAGTTGATAATGTGATTGCTCTTATTGCCTTTTTTTGTAGGGTAAAGATTGGCTTTGTATTCGTCTTATATGTATTGCCCCATTTTAAATCTATCCTGAAGCTCACAGGAAGCCAGCTTTCAGTGAGAATCTACAATGAACACTGAAAATAAAATGAATGAAAGAGTGTCCAAACTTTCGACTGAGGTGTATTGTACGTTGTTTTTGAATTAGTGACCACTTAAATTTGTCTCACCTGTTTTAAGACTTGAGCGTTGGCAGCAGAATCTGACAGGTCCACTTCTGACCACACGTCCATCTTCACAATATTAACGATTGTGATTTCTGTGCAATAAGAAAGATCATTTAAAAGTCACCACCAAAACTAAATGTATGATTACTGTTTTGCCCAGACATGTTGTCAAAAAGATCATGTTTCAGTGGCTGTTTTGAAAGTAAGAGCATGTTAAACACAAAGAATATAAGTATGTGGTTTAGTAACAAGTGCTTGGATAAGATCCGAGAGAAGATGAAAGAGCAGAAACCTTTTGTGTAAACTGCGAAACAAGTCTAACCAGTCTGCACTTTTGCGGTTTAAGAGCCACTGTGTTACTTTCTTTCATGTCTTTCCCTTGAAACATTATTGCTTTATCAAGAACACAAGTGGTGCTGCCAGGTCTGGTTAGGGGTCAGATCTGTGGAGAGGCGACCCCACCACAAACAGTATGAATATATATATAGTATAATTTGTCTTGGTTAAAATCTCTTGTGACATTTTTTTATTATTATTTTTATACTGCACTATTTTCTGTTTACGTGTTTATGTTTAGGGCTTTTATTTTGAAGGGTATATTTTCCGTTTAATTAAGGGGAAAGCGTTATATTTGTTGGTATTTTCTATGTCTTTGTTTAGCTTCCCGTCTGAAGAGGCACAAAGGTATGTTACTGATGCAAATATTTCTTTTGAATAACTTTGTGTCTCTAGTTTTTTTCGTTGATTAATGTTGTCAAGATGAACGTAAACAATAATCAAACTTGCGCCGAGGTTTGTGTATTTGTATTTACACTCTGTATTTTGCATTCCTTTTAGCTTTCGTGGCAGATTGGAGGATTTATTGCCATTAAATCTAAAAATCACCAGTTCAAGTGACTCTTCATTCAGAGGGATACATTAAAACACCTGCTATGTAAGAAATGCTAGATAAATATGTTTAACGTCATACTGTGGAACATTCCAACCAAAGCAATTACATCGCCATGGAGACAAAGGTGGAGTTTCATCAGCCTTAATTCGACAGCACGTTCACAGATATTTACAGGGTCATTTTTGCATATTTAAGCTGCATGTGTGAATGGAAAATATGATTTGACTGATATTTTACTCATATAAAACAACATAAACATAAACAACGACCAGTGTTGGGGAGTAACAGATTACATGTACCAGAGTTACGTATCAGAGTACAAATTATGAGTAACTGTATTCAGTTACAGTTACTGTTTCACTGAGTGGTGATTGGATTACAGTTACTTTGTTGAAATAAACGGATTACAGAGCAGTATTTTCCTGTTTTCACATTTTAGGCTATATCCTTTTTTTTTTTTTCAGGAATTCCACTCATTGCCGGACACTAAACCAGGACTAAACCAGGTCAAAACCAGATCTAAACCAGGTCTAAACCCAGGTCTAAACCAGGTCCAAACCAGGCCTAAATGAAGTCTAAACCAGGTCCAAACCAGGTCTAAACCAGGTCTAAAACCAGGTCTAAACCAGGTCTAAACCAGGTCCAAACCAGGTCTAAAACCAGGTCTAAACCAGGTCTAAACCAGGTCTAAACCAGGTCTAAACCAGGTCTAAACCAGGTCTAAAACCAGGTCTAAACCAGGTCTAAAAATTAGGTCTAAACCAGGACTAAACCCAGGTCTAAACCAGGTCCAAACCAGGTCTAAACCAGGTCTAAACCAGGTCTAAACCAGGTCTAAAACCAGGTCCAAACCAGGTCTAAACCAGGTCTAAAACCAGGTCTAAAACCAGGTCTAAACCAGGTCTAAACCAGGACTAAACAGGTCTAAAACCAGGTCTAAACCAGGTCCAAACTAGGACTAAACCAGGACTAAACAGGTCTAAACCAGGACTAAACAGGTCTAAACCAGGTCCAAACCAGGTCTAAACCAGGTCTAAAACCAGGTCCAAACCAGGTCTAAACCAGGTCTAAAACCAGGTCTAAACCAGGTCTAAACCAGGACTAAACAGGTCTAAAACCAGGTCTAAACCAGGTCCAAACTAGGACTAAACCAGGACTAAACCAGGTCTAAAACAGGATTTAACAGGACTAAACTATGCTGAACGGACCATGTCTCCTCTTCTTCTATGAATAATATTTTTAATTTGGTTCAGTAAAGTCTGGGCTTTTTATTTTCTTTTAGCAGACAAAACATCTTATGTGAAGATTTCCTAGTCTTTGCTTCTCTACAGCAAATCAAGTAATCCAAAGTATTCAGATTACGTTACTCAAATAAAGTAATTTAATGGATTACGTTACAAACTACATTTTGGGGGATGTAATCTGTAATCTGTAGGGGAATACATTTTAAAAGTCACCTTCCCAACACTGACAACGACATATTCACTCCCCCGTCTGAGACACAAATGTAATCTTACCTGCCTGGCAGATGAACGGGCGCGCGCTGTTGCAGTTGGCATCTGCCCATTCTGCGCTTGGCAACAGCACCGCGCAGTGTTCATTAGAGTCCCAGTTGTCTTGTAAGTAGCTCCAGTTTCTGTAGGTGCTGGCGCTGCCGTCGGACCACCTCCAGGGGGCCCTGTAGAGCCCGATCCACGCGCTGTCCGTCAGGATTAAAGACTGGACTGCTCTCTGGTCGCTCTGGTTCTCAATGTGAGCCAGGTCTGTGTAGGCGGCTCTGCAGTAATCTCGGGAAGACGTCCAATTCATCTGCGTCAACGTTATATAAGAAAAATGTTTCCCGTTTTCAGTGGAACCTGT